ATCCTGGAGGGGATGGACTGAAGACAATGACTAAGCCATTTGTCTCGTGCCATCCATCTCCAGCCTTCCACAAACAGAGGCCAGGGACACCATTTCTACCCCCTGGCTAATACCACTCCATGGACCCAACCTCCATCACTTTATCTAACTTCTCTTTAAACTCTGTTCTAGTTGTAGCCTTCACAGCCTCCTGCAGCAAGGAGTTCCTCAGGTTGACTATTTGCTTTGTGAAGAAGAACTTTCTGTTGTTAGTTTGAAGCCTGCTACCCATTCATTTCATTTGGTGTCCTATAGTCCTTCTATTATGGGAACTAATGAAGAACTTTTCTTTATGCACCCTCTCCACACCACTCATGCTTTTATAGACCTCTATCATATCCTCCCTCAGTCTCCTCTTTTCTAAGCTGAAAAGTCCCAGTCTCTTTAGCCTCTCTTCATATGGGACCTGTTCCAAACCCCTGATCATTTTAGTTGCCCTCCCCTCTCACACCCTCTCTCTTCCCCTCTCCCACCTCCTTTTCCCAGTCTCCCCGAGTTTTGTTCAATAAAGAGAGTTTCTATTTTTGAACACACGTCTCCTTTATTTTGTACATCAGGAAGGGGGGCTACGGAGGGGTAAGTAGAAGGAAGTGAGGGAGGAATGGGGTACGAGCCCCCGATGATGAGGACTGGGCTGGCTCTGCGGGCTCCTCAGGGTGGAAGCTCTCCTGAAGCCCCTTGATTGACCGCCCCTCCGAATGGCAGCCTGCGGCAAGTACAGCCGGGCTGATGGCCGAGTGCTGTGATGTGCCGAGTGTGGGCACTCAGGGCACTCCAAGCCAGGATTGCTTTGCAAGCGGGGAACCCCTGAGAACGGCGAGGAATGTGAATACGATACTGATCATCTGCAAATTGGCCTATAGAAGAAAAAAATACTTCATGATTCTCAAATGGGTGATCACGGCACCAGTCAGGATGTATTGCCAGTCTTAGTTCAGAGCGAATAACTGAAAGAGGATCCACAGGGCGCTCACCTCAGGTTAAATTCTGGGAGCTAAAGAATGCTGGCCAATTAGCAGCCCTCTCTCCTACTGTACAATGGATGCCAAAGACCCCAAGTGATAGGAAGAAGCTTCCTTGTATCCCTCAGCATCCCTACATGTCTCCCTTCCTTGCTGCTGAGGCTGATCACTTTCACCGTTAAGACTCTCCAGTTGATGCAAGTAGGTGGCATTTTTGAAGTTTAGAACTGAAAAAGAATGATATTCCACATCTGTCCTTGTAACAGTTTCTTCAGCTCTTCAATATTTATACACAACAATGATCAAGAGACTTTCACCTCACAACAAAAATGACCCTCTGTCACTTTTGAAAGGTAATTATTAGCTAATTATTGTAGAAAATTTTTAGACCAAACATTTTCCATCTGAAAAAGCTGTTTCATTTAAACTTCCCTGGGGAATATGATAATTGACGAAATTTTGCTTCTGTTTTTTTTTAATAAAAAGAACAATTCATTAAGGTTAAGAAACTCACTCTCTCAACATTTTCAGAATAAAACATTTTATTTTTTTCATTTTAGAATGAGTTTTTGGATTTTTTTATTTTTATGGATATAAATATAAAAATTAAAAAAAAAACAAGTCAAAATGAAATGTTGCATTAACTACAGGCAATTTTTTTCAGGAATTTTGTCATGTGGGAACACTCTGTTTTCATTTCCATTCCAAGGAAACTAATTTTCAAAACAGCAGTTTCCCACAGTACTCTAATTTTAATTTTTTAGCATGCTGCTCTGTTTAATCTTTTTTATCTTAGATTTCTGTATGGCTCCCATTCCCAAAGTGTCACCTGAAACCTCAAAATCTTTATTTCACAATCTTTAATGTATTTATTCTCACAACATCTCTTTCAGATACAATTATACTCATTTACAAAAGGGGAATGAGGAACAAAGCGATTCATACATCTACACTGCACAGCTATTTTGGGAAACCTCTGGTATCCCAAAATAGCTACCCCTCTCATCTACACAAGCTGCCCATTATTTCAAAATATTTTTTGAAATAACGGGCATTCTATTTCGGCATACTGGTAACCCTTGTTTCACGAGGATTAAGGGATGACCCACTTCCTTAGTCTGGCCCACGAAAGCTCATCACCTAATAAGCCATCTTGTTAGTCTTTAAAATGCTGCATAGTCCTCTCTTGTGTTTCAGCAAGATCAGACTAACATGGCTACATCTCTATTACTATTCAAAATACAGTAAACTTCTGATAATCCGGCATCTTTAGGACCCAGGGGGTGCTAGATTATCAAATATGCCGGACTATCGGAAGTGGGGAGGGACTATTAGGGGTCTGGAGTGGAGTGGGGGGGGATGTGCCCCTTGGTGCTGCAGGACCAACCCGGCAGCACTCCAGCTTCTCTGCCCCAGGCTTCCCGGAGTCAGCCACTGGTCAGTTTCAGCAGCGGCTGACTTGGGGAAGTCTGGGGCAGAGCTGCTGAAACTGACCAGTGGCTGATTCGGGGAAGAAGGGGACAGAGCAGCTCCAATTGTCTGGCTGCCTGGAGCACTTTTGGGTTCCAGATGGTGTCGGACCATCAGGAGTGCTGGACCATTGGATGCTGGACCACTGGAATTTTACTGTAGCATGTTATTTCAAAATTTGGTGCTGTGTAGATGCACCCTCAGCCTAGGTTTCACTGGAAGTCTGTGGTGGAGGAGCAAACTGAAGCCTGATCTCCTAAGATCACGGTTAGAACTCTAACCACTGGATTATTCCAACACTATAAATGTACATGCACTCACTCACACTTTTTCTTTTTCTGTTTTTAAAAGAAAAACATGTATACTATCAAAACAAATCTTCTCTTATGGAACATTATTGCAGAAAAGATATTTTCAGTGCTCTTACTTGTTAAAATATAATATAAACATAAATACACGTAAACAGCAGATAGATTGTACATACATCGTACAGGAACTAAAATTCACAGAATACCAAACTACTTTTTGTACTGCATGGAACAGTACAAAAGGGACATGAATACAAATAACAAAATCTAAGATTATTCTCACAGCAAAAATAGTTTAAACTATGTATTATTTTCCCACTTGAACTTTTGAATTAGCTTCTTTATAAATACAAAGAAATTTCAATGTAGATTTATAATGAAGAAATATTTTCAAATAAATATTTGCAGGAAATGTTGATGCCATGAATCAAAATGAGTTATTTTATATAGCTTTAACTATATTGTGACACCCAAGTTTCTGCAATAAAATGCAGTTTAACATTACAGTATTCCTAAAGGACACATCACTAGCAGATGCAGATTGCCAAGGTCAATTAAACTGATGTAGCTGTGCTGTCATATATGTAAAAGAGAAACCTGCTAGCATATGACAAGGGTATTTCTCAGTATTTATAGAAAAATGTCAAATATGTGTTGTGTTTTTACTTGAGATGGGCCTAAGTGGGTGTATTTTGGGTTGACAAAACCACAGTTAGATTTTATCTTTCCACAGTCAAAATCCAACTACCTGAAGGATTAGGTATGGATTTAGAGATTTAGCAAGATGTTAGATTCTACATTTTTCTCTAGTCATTTGCAATGTTGGAAAGTTAATGTAATTCCCTTCCTCACTTAAATAATTCTTATCTTCATCCTAGAATTATAATGGGACAAAATAAAAAACACGCAGCTTCGCAGGGTGAACACTGTGAGTCTACCTTGTGGAGAGGAGCGGTTAGACCACATACAGTATTCTGTTAATTACCCGCATTGCTAAAATATGCATAGGTCCAGGCAGTGGAAGC